GTGAAGGTGCTAAAGGTTCGAGACTGGAGTACAAGAAAGAGCAGGGACTTCAACGAGGAGTGTCCCCGTCTCAGGTGGGGCAAGGCCTAAATGGGAAGCTGCTGGTTCCAAGGAACCCTGACTAGCACCCAGAGGGAGATCTTTTATGCTTATCTCAGCTAGGGATACTCTCCTTCCAGGATTTTCTCGCATCCAAATGTGCTCCCAGTGCTAGGTGCCTGTCAGTCTCCACCTGCTCCTCACCCCACCCTCATCACACATTGGATGCCATATGGATCCCTGTACAATGTATTACACGAAGGCACCAGTGAGTAGTGGATACCGAATCTCATGGGATGGGGGCAAGGTGTGTGAGCCTCCCCAAACTATTTGACCCTTGCCTCCTTAGATTTCGTTGTGGACCAGAGCCAGGCTGTGAAGTTTGCATTGGACATGGCAAGGGGCATGGCCTTCCTACACACATTAGAGCCCCTCATCCCACGACATGCACTCAATAGCCGTAGTGTAATGGTGAGGTCACACTTCACTCTTGGCCCAGGCCCCCAGAACCCTTTCCCTGTCTAGAATAGGACTTACCTCCTTCCACATATCTATCTTCTCTTCCTCAGATTGATGAGGACATGACTGCCCGAATCAGCATGGCCGACGTCAAGTTCTCCTTCCAGTGCCCTGGGCGCATGTATGCACCTGCCTGGGTGGCCCCTGAAGGTGAGTGAGGGCATCATGTTGGGAGGTAGAGAAGGGCCAGCTCAGTAGTAATGGAAGGGGGCAGAAACAGGACAGGCAGCTGGAACAGTTAAGTCCTGTTCCTCCAGCTCTGCAGAAGAAGCCTGAAGATACAAACAGACGCTCAGCAGACATGTGGAGTTTTGCAGTGCTTCTGTGGGAACTGGTGACACGGGAGGTACCCTTTGCTGACCTCTCCAACATGGAGATTGGAATGAAGGTGAGAGCACAACTGTATGCACTTGTGCTGGGGGGAATGGTGGTGGTGGTGACAATAACTATAGCAGGGCTGGGCTCTTCCCATATTTGTTCAAATATACAGTAATCCTGTCCTGAGGACTAGAGGCCTCTCCCCACAGGATATTCAAGTTCTGAGACCCATTTTGTTTTTTCCTGTATTTGCAGGTGGCACTGGAAGGCCTTCGGCCTACCATCCCACCAGGCATTTCCCCCCATGTGTGTAAGCTCATGAAGATATGCATGAATGAAGACCCTGCTAAGCGGCCCAAGTTTGACATGATTGTGCCTATCCTGGAGAAGATGCAGGACAAGTAGAGCTGGAAAGCCCTTGCCTAAACTCCAGAGGTGTCAGGACACGGTTAGGGGAGTATGTCTCTCCAAAGCAGCAGGCCTCTGGTTGCCTCCCCTGCCTCCAGTCATGGTACTACCCCAGCCATGGGGCCCATCCCCTGCCCCCATCCCTACCACTGCAGCCCCCAAAGGGGCTAGGCTCAGAGCTTTTGTCACTTGCCACACGGTATCTCCCAGCATGGGAGGGACCAGCCCTGCCTGTCACAATAAAGTTTATTATGAAAACAGGCTGGTGTGGGGACAAGGGGACAGACAAGTACATTTAGGTTGGGTGGCTCAGGTGAAGTAGTGCGGCTTCTTCACATTGATGCCATACTCGCTGAGGGCAGGGGTCAAGTCCTCCATGGTTAGAGTGTACTTGCGGTCCTGAGGGAAGAGGGAAGAGCACCAGCTGAGCACAGGAATCCCAGATTTCAATCCCAGGTGGGTGACCCTGAGTAGGTCTTTCACCTCCCCTAGGACTTAGTTTCCCCAAAGGGATTTCAGAACAAATTAAGCCTCCGATGCTGTGGGAGGTAATTACTGATTCAATGAGCCTCCCCTCACACCTTGCTCTTGCTTCGGGAGCTGCCAGAAGCTGTGCCCTTCATTTTGCAGTGCTGTAGGGCATCGTTGGCAATATCTGAGATGAATTTCTGGGCAGCTAGAGAGATGAGCCGAATTCTAGAGAGAAAAAACTGGTGTGAGAAGGAGATGGAACAATAAACTCCACACAAGCACTCAAAGCTCTAACCTACCCACCCAGATTGTACTCACATGCGTGGGTCCGAGGCCTCAAAGCCAGCACGGTTCAGGTAGTAACCAGTCACTGCGTCTGGGATCTGAGAGATCAATGAGATGACTGTCAGTATTTGCCCTGGGCGCTGCGGGGCTGAGAGGGTGAGGGAAATGGAGGGCAGGCCTGGCTTTTAGGACGCTCACAGTTTGGGTGGGCAGAGGGGATAAATCAAAGAGCTAGTAGGGGAGCAAGTACAAAAGGAAGCTGGAAATCCACGCGGTGTAGCAGAAAGTTGGCCTGACAGCGTGCCAATAGCCTTGTTCAAGCAGGAAGCCCACCGTAGGCGTGTAATCCTCCAGCTGCATCAGGAAATCCACCAGAGGCGTGCTGGACACCACCGGCTTCACGTCTCCGTTGGCCGCGCTCGGCAGTACATAAACCCCGTTAGACATGGCCCCCTCCGGGGGCGCCGCGCCTCCCGCCGACACCGGAGCTGGAGGAGAACCACCAAACAGACATGGAGGTGGGAGATGCGGGGCCCCGGCTAGGTCGGCCTCAAACCCTCTGCCTTCACCCGCCACTGGACCCAGCCCTAGGCGCTGCCCTCACCCTCACCCGTCCCGGCCCTCACCCGCCCCACGCCGCTCGGCCGGCTCCCCGGCCCGCGCCGCCACGGGTCCCGTGCCCCCTGCCGCAGCTCCAGCCCCAGGTCCCCCTGCTGTCCCCGCGGGGCTGGCCTTATTCTCCGCAGCGGTGCCGCCGGGCAACGCTGCGGGGGCCGAGACCGCGGGCGCCGGGCCCGGGGCCGAGGCGGCGGAGCCCGGCGCCGCCTCGGGGTCCGCGCCGGAGCCGCTGCAGCTCATCGGGCCGGTGGGAGAGGCGGCGAACAGAGCCGCTTCCGCTTCCGCTCACGTTACGCACACACCAGGGGTGACGTCACACGCCCCGCGCTTCGCCCCTCCCATGCCATGTTTGCTGTCTTTCTCGGGTCTCCCGCCGCCTGGTTGCTTACCCTCCAGTGAGATGCCTCCGACAGGCCGCCTCCCACCCGGCCGTACTCCTAGGCCCTTTCGCCGGGACGTCAACCATCAATGTCTAGGACGCTTTTCCGCGGGTCTGGGACCCCACTGGGAACCTGGCGCTTAAAGACCTTGTTTTGGGACACCCCTTAACCACAGGTTGCCTGCCAGTCTGCATCCTTTCTAGTTCCCTTACTCAGCCTTTTAAGGGTTGGAAAGCCCCACTCCCCTCCAGCTGCCAGGAGAAGTGAGGACAGCAGGGGAGTGAATAGTGCTGCTGTAGATAGGAAGGGAGGTATTTCAGCTTGAGTATGCAAAATCACATATGTTTGCAACATATGCAAAATCACGAGTGAAGGTGGGGTTTTCAACGCAACAAACATTTATTTAATTCCTACTTGCCAATCCTGAGCTAGGGCCTGGGAGTACAAAGTTCGGTAGGACAACACTCTAGTCCTCTAGGCACCAACAGTCTTCAAAGGGAGGCAAAGAGGTAAACTGGCATTTTCAATACTATGCTGGAGTTAAAATACTAGAGGTAGACACAGAGTATGCAGTGCAAAGGAGAAGGGGAACTAACATCTGCTGCCTACTTCTTTGTGTCAGGCACTCTATCAACTTTATTCCATTTAATTATTCCCTGATTATTGTTAGAGGCAGGTACTAATATCCCCACTTAACAGAGGAGGGAAAAGACTCAGGGAGATGGACTTGTCCAAGGCTCTCTCCTTGTCTACATCAGAACCAAGAATCAAACAATGTTTGGTTTGAAAAAATCTGGGATTTTTCTGCTATACCAAATCATTTTCTGCTATACCAAAATCAACTAGCTTCAGAGAGCCAAAGGTACACAGGAGAAGACTTCTGAGCTGGGTCTTCAAAGAATCCTGGAAACCAACCAGGCAAAGGGAGTCAGGGGTCATGTTAAGGGCACAGAATATCTTGAGCAAAAGTGAAAGTGGGGAAGTGGAGGAAGGGGGAGGGAGAACAAGGGAGGATAAACAATTTGTTACTCGGGAAAAAACAGCAAGGAAAGGATCAGGTTTGTGAGTCAGAGCAAAAAGCCAGAACTTCATCAGTAATCTTGGAAGGGTTTTAAGTAAATGACCTGATGGGATTTGCATTTCACTCTGGAAAAATGGTTTTATGGACAGACAGGCCCTTTTTCAAGGGCCTCCTAGAATTCAGAGGAGAAAAAATATGGTTCTAAGCTAATTTAGTAGCAGTAGAGATGGAGAGAAGTAAATGAGTTCCAGATATTCTTAGGAAATGTAATTGGCAGGACTTGTGGATTGATAAAGATATATTTAAGAAGTGAAATCAGTAGGACTTATTGATTGACAGTGGTAATAGGGAGGGGGAGGTGAAGGAAAGGGGAGTCTAAGATAAAACTTAGGCTTCTGGCTTGCTTGGAAGAAGCATAGTCTCATCTACCAAGAAGGAACACAGAGAATGGTCTGGAATTGGGAAGGAGGGAGATGAAGTATTGAGTGTCATACACCTTGCATTTGAGGTATCAATCATCGTCCGATGGGAACGTCCCTCATTTAGTGAGATGGTGCCAGCTGTGGATACAGGTGACTGACTTGTTCCAGGGAACACTGGGTAGATTGAGAAGAGCAAAAGAGTAAAGATGAAGCAATCAAGTATACCAACATTCAGTGAGGAAGAAGAGAAAGAGAAGGAAGAAGAGGGAATGAAGGAGGAAGTGGGAATGGTCAGAAAAGAAGTTAAGCCCTGAAGGCTAAAGAAGGAGAGGCAGTGGACAGCTGTGACAGAGAGCCCATAAAGCAAAGGCTGGGAAGAGTGCACTGGATGAAGCAGCAGGACGGCCATTGCTGTCATTGTCAGGGGAGGAAAGAGGGAAAAAGTGAGAGCAGAGGTCTCACCGCAGTGACCTGAGGAGAGAACATGAAGTGAAATAGTGTACACAGAGAGCATAGACAACTCTTTGAAAAAGCTTGGTTGAAAAGAGAAAGAAGAAATGGGGGGGTGTGAAATAGGGGGGTTTGGGGGTACCAAACAATACTAGTTATAGCATCTGTAGAGAAACATGAGGCAGGAGTAGGGACACCTGAGCACGATGGAGCTGGGTAGGGTTGGGAGTCAAGTCAAGCTCACGGAATTTTAGGGTTAGGGAGATAAGCTGTCTGCAGCAGTCTATGGTTGAGGGTTCAGCAGGGCTTCCAACAGTGCAGAATAAGGGACTAAGCCACCAGCTATGGGGCAGGGGATAGGTTCACTCTCCGGCAGGAAAGGGTCACGGGTTGATTAGTGACTTCAGCAGAGCTGGGAAGTTGGGTGTTCCCCAGCCTGTCACAGGATCCCAGCCAGGGCCAGAGCAGAAACCCTGACCCTGCACCTCTTCATTCAGACAGGACTCATGGCAGCCATGGGTTACCTAGGGAAAAGGTGGGCATCAGATCTGGGCCTGTCTGTACCAGTACTAACAGACTAAGCCCCCTTACCTCGTATTTACATTTCAGGACCCCGTCAGAACTGCCCTCAAGTTCATCTTTGCACTCCCCATATTCATGAAAATGTCCACACCCTTCCCTTCCATACTCACATCAAACAGTCCTGCTCCATGCTGCTGGTAGAGCCTTGGGTTGAGAAAGCCAAGAGGGGGGCGGCCACTGAGGATTCTATGTTCATTTATCAGGGACAGGACCCCACCAAATACTGGAGTAGAGGCCTATAAGAGTGAGGGTGTAAGTAGAAGTTAGGGGTTCAGAGTGATTGGATTTGGGGGAGGGATGTTTGAAAGGATCAGAGGTCTCTGAGGAGTCAGGGGTTCTGGGTGCAAGGTCTTAGTAGAGGGTGAGAATAGTTCCTGAGTGTCAGGGGTTTGGAGCCAGGCTGATTCTTACCGACGTGCCAGACACCCATGGAATGGGCACGCTGTTGCTGACCACCCAGTAGCCATCGGAGAGTGCAGCCACGTCTGGATAGGCACGGCCACTGGCATTGAAATAACTGGATGGTGGTAAATGGGGACTGGAGCTCAGGAACTGGGCTACAGCTTCCTCCTGAAAGATGTTGTTGAGTGAGTATTGTCTGCTGAACTGAGGATCCCTCCCACCCATCCATCCACAAAAACACATACACACACCTGGTATGAAGGCTGTGGGAACACATTGCTGAAGCCACCACCACTGATGTAGTCAACGATCTCCTTTGTGACTCGGAATGGATTCTGGAAGGATGTGCCTCCCACCGTGGTGACATAGGGGCTGAAAGCAGAAAACAGCACTCAGATTGTATGGGTCCCAAGGGGACTTCCAAAATGTGTGGAGATGGGTAAGTGTGGGCTTGCTTTGCTAGAGGGGCTGAACTCTGTGGGGAAGCAGGTACATGGGAAAGACTAAGAGATTTTGAGCCCTCGAGGCATGGCCTGAGGTGACAGTGCACACTTTTGTCTACAGAACATTCACCAAATCTTCTACTAAAATCCCTGGGAACTGAGAAGAGGAATACTGGGAACTGCATTCCACTCAGAAGCCATGGGGCCTAGACATGTAGGAAGAAGGGAATGCAGCAACCAGAGCTGGTTAAACTGAGGTCTTAGCTACAGGAGCACGTGGTGGGGTCAAGGCAAAGTTCTAGATCATGTAGCCTTGGATGAAGATTGGTGGTCACAGGTAAGTAAGTGGTGGGCTGGGGTGCTTACCTGGAGGCAGGGAAACTGGGACGGAACTGGTGTCTTCCAGAGACAGACCAACACCCAGCCCCACTGTCACCTGGGAGAAAGACCAAGTTTAGCACTCAGATTAATTGGTCAGAGCTTGATATGTGGGTTCAGATGTCAGAGAAGAAATTCAAGAGTTAGTCATTACTGCAAGAGGTCTGAGTTTAGAGATCAGATCAGTAGTCCCTACTGAGTTCAGATTGTAAGTCAGCGATCACAAGGGTCCCCGTGGGGTCAAAACTTCTGAGTTGAGGTAGGGTCTAAGTTTAGAGTAGGAGGTCACCTGAGGCAAAGAGCAGGGTAAGACCCCGAGCGGCCGCCTTCATGAGCTCCGTGTTGACCCGCTGGATGTAGGCACTGCTGAGGGAGTCCTCGTCATCCCCATAGCTCACGGTGTGCACGTGTGGCAGGGCTGACTCATTACTCAGCAGCAGGAGCCACTGCAGGAAGGGCTCCTGTGACTCATGTCGGCCTGGATTTGGGGGGAGGGGAGGAGCACAAGGGTGGTCCTTTGGGAGGTTGTCTCCGTCGCCCTCTAGCGCATGGGATTCCCTTGAGGGAACAGTGAGCACCACTCACGACCACCCCTCTCCCCACCCACCAGTCCCCTTGGCAGTACCAGGGCTACTGTAGACCCAGGTGGAGATGTTGGCGCCGGCACTCATCAGGTACTCCACATCTAGACTGGCCTCGATCCCAGCCCGGCCCCGGCCCTGTTGTCCAACCACACGGGCTACTGATGCCTGGTGTGCAAATTTCCCACCAAAGAGGCGCATGAACTCAGCCAGGTCCGAGTCATGGAAATACTGCTCCAGGAACTACAGAAGGAATCAGATCAGGTATCATGGGTCAGAGGATGCAGCCCCAAGGTCAGGGCAGGGGACACTATTCCAGATAGGGGGTGAGGACCCAGGGGAGGAGTCAGAGAGGAAGCCCCAGCCTGGGGAAGCATCTTGGGTAGGGTGTCAGGACCCTGGAGCTCTCTGCCTGGCTCACCTGGGCACAGGCTTGGCTGTTGTTGGTTGTGCCAGAGCCCACGTCTTGTGCTGTCAAGTTGTATCGCTGACGGATCACAGATGGGGTCACCCCCAGGTGCAGGCCAACAGTCCCTGACACCTGTGGCTCAGGGCGTTGCCTCAGGGATGATGTGGGGGGAAAGCGGTGCAGCCCGCCCACTGTGGGGAGGGGTCAGGCTTGAGGAGGAGATCTTTTAGACTCCAACCCCCACTTTACCACTGATCCCACCCCAACCCCCACCATGGCACCTAAACTTTTCCGGCCCCTGGTTCTGCCTGCTTCAAACCCCACCAACCCCACTGGGTGTTACCAAAGTCCACATGAGGGGCCAAGGCCTTCGGGAGGTGGTATGGACGTGGGGACCTTATAACATGGATCTCTGCAGGTCCCCCCACATAGCGATGAAACTCAGCCCCAGAGAGCAGCAGTTCAGCCTGTCTGGAGGTCAGAGATCAGAGAACAGAGGTCAGAAAGCAGCACAGACCAGAGCAGAGGAGGCTACCTGAGCATTACTGCTCATCCTTGTCTCCCTGTGTGTTAGCTCTCACCCACAAGCTCCCACCAGCTTCTCAGCTCTCTCCCATTGGGGTGACTCATCTCCCTGATGGGATGATTGGTACCCTCCACGGGGCAATCCTTCCCTCTCACCGGACACTCAGCCAGCAAGTCAGAAAGTCCTGTGTGGTCACTGAGTGGCAGTTCCGGGCTCCAGCTGCCAAGAGCCATTTTTGGACTGTGCGGAAGGTCAGTGGTGATGGCCGGACCAGTTCAGCCACATCCTCTAGGGTCAGGTATTTTCCTGCAGGGATTCAGTAGAGGATCTTGCCTTCATTCATTGCTTTTCCAAGTTGCCCACTTTGGACCTCAGCCAGGACATTGGGACTTCCCAGGGAACCTGGAACAGGGTCTTGAGGGATAGGTGGGAACTTTCTAGCAAAAAGGCAGGCTGTGAAGGTGCAAGCTATATTTGGGGGCCAGGAGAAGAAAAGGCTAGGGAGACTTGGAATGCCATGGTCAGAAATATGGATTTACCCTAAAGGCCAGAAGTTTGCAAATGCTGCATCAGAACATGTATTGCCATAATCATAAACAACAAATGAGGTTAAAAATTAAAATTTCCCATATTAAGTTTATTTCCAGTAAAAGTTTTCAAAACTTTCAGAACCAATTATAAAGTGACATCTAATTCAGTTCCAGTCTTTGTACTTGTTGATTTTAAGCTTAACGTGATGGTGAGTCACTATTTTCCTGCAGAGTGCCATGTACACAGCTCCGGGGTGAATCTGAGCCTGCCCCCTCACACACATACCACTGCCACCCAACCATGAAGGGCTTCATGCAGGGGAGGGACACTATCCAGCATGACCACTGGAGCAGAACACTGTTTGGGAGCAGAGTAGGGGGCAGGGTGGGGAGTGGGGTGAACCACTCAGGACTGGGCAGCAGTCTGGGTGCAAGAATAAACAAATGGGTGGGCGGTAACAAGCAATGGTAGAAAGCAGAGGATTCCAAAGGCTCTTTCAGAGCCAGAACTGGAGATGACAGCTCTAGAGTCTGACTGGAGGAGGAAATGGGCATGGGTTTGAGGGTGGGGAAGGAATTTGAGTTGATGAGCACCTATCTGTACTGGATACTACTTCCCATGTGTCTGGTAGTAGTAGCAGAATTTGAATCCAGATTTGATCACACAGCCTGTGCTCTTAACTTTCAGGTTTCTAGCCTGATAAACATAGGTGGGAAGTTTTGGGGAAAGGAATTTGAGTGAGTTTTGGACAGTTTCTTTCCAGTTCACTTTTTTTTTTATTCAGAAACTTCAACGAGGGCCACTGCCATTCAACTGTCCTGTATCACCACCTCCCTAGGCACCAAGAGCATGACCATGACGTTATGTGCGCCATCCCACACTCAGCCCAGCCCTGGGACCCTTCACTGCATCCCACTTCCCAGCCCCAGTTCCTATTCCAATAGGCACCATAACGAGGAGAGCCAGGATCCGACACAGCCTGCACCAGCTCAGACAATCTTTCCACGTTCTGCTGTCTCAGGGCAAAGGTGAGACTCAGCTCTTCCTCGGAGTCTACACGGCCCAGGGACACCCAGCCTGGGGGCAACCTGCAGGGTCAAAGGTCAGGAACATGGTCTTTGTTAGTGTGGGGATGGGAAATATTAGTCATGGAAGGTTCATGGGGTAGGATCCCAGAGGCAGATATGGCTCACAGGAGGTGAATGACTGGGGACTGAGCCTGGGAACCTGGGGATAAGACTATGGAGTGGGTACCAGGAGCTGGTAAGGGGGTGAGGGAGGCTGGGCCAAGACAGTGGGCACAGGACAGGGCATAGGGAAGGGGGCGGTCTGTGCTAAGTCAACTCACGTTCGCTGCTGGTCCGGCTCCGGGCTATAATTGCATTTGACAGCGACGAAGAGGGCAAGGAGCCCGAGGAGGCTGCAGAGGCGGCAGGCGGGTTTCAGCAGGGGCCGGGCTGCCACTGTATTCCCACCTTCCAACCCGATCCCCTCCTCCCGGGGCCCCCCTAATTTCTCACCAGGCTCGGAGTCTCATTCTGCCTTTCCGGAGATCCGCTGTCATGTGACAGATCACATGAACCTTATAGTCTACCACCAGCACCACCACCACGCGGCTGCGGGGAAACTAGTGCGGGTGCTGGCTCCTCCTTCAAATGGGTGGTCCTAAATGCTGGAGATGGGTGGGGCTGCCACCCGATCCTTCCTCTGCGGCCCCGCCAGCACCGGGTTCGTCCCGGGCTCCAGACGCCCCCCCCCCGCTCCACGCCCGCACTGGGTTCGTCCCGGGCTTCAGACGCCCCCCCTCCCCCCGCCCTCACTGGGTTTGTCCGGGCTCCAAACCCCACCCCACCTCCCCACCCCCGCCCCGGCTGCCGGATTCCCCTGGCACTCACCAAGGGGTATAGGGCAGTGCTTAAGAAAGGGGCTCTGGGGCACACGGACCCACAGACCAGGGTTCCTCCTTAGCTGTATGATATCAGGAAAGCACCCAACCTCTCGGAGCCTAGGTTTCATTTAGAATCCGGAAGCGGCTGTAAAGTGCTCTGCCTCACAGAATTGCAGTGAACACGTACAGAGATAAAGCAGGCACACTGCTCAGCAGAGAGCCTGGTGTGGCAAAGGCTCAAGGGACGTGAACTCTTGTTACATGTGGACCCTCAGGCCTAGAGCTGGTCATCCCCAAGATCTTTCCTCACGCAGCCAACCCCTAAGATGTCAGTGCCTTAGGGAAGCCCCTGCTGTCTGCCTTTTATCTGGCTTCCCAGCCCTTGTGAGTAGGAAAGGCCAACTGCAGACATGTGACACTCAGCCTCAGGCTAGGCTTGGGCTCCCAGTGCCATCCCCACCCTAGATGCCCCTGTGTCCACCACTCCTCTGTGCCCCCTGAGGTGTCCACAATGTATCAAATGCCTGGCAATCATCCCCCCCGCCCCATGGCCCCCACAGAATACAGCCGGACACTGGATACAAACTGCAGTTTATTAAGGCTCCAGAGTGAGAATTGGCACTTGGTTCTGTGCAGGGGCAGGGGTGTCAGTGGAACCCAAAGGAGCTGGGCCCAAATAGGTTGGAGGGACCTCCCCCATCCCCCTACCCCCCAATAAATAAAGTCTCAGCTCCACCTCAGGGTGCTGGTGCAGGGCAGGAAGCCCTCACTGAGGAGAACCCAGGGCTGCTGCCTCCTTCATATTTCTCCCCACATTGGACCTGGCCCCAGGTCAGTGCTCAACAGAGCCTCTGTGGCACTGTGCTCTGATGGGGCCGGGTGAGATGTGGGACCTGGCCCCACTGGAGGGGCTTAGGATGGGGAGCTGGCCTCCCCCGCGGTCAATCATGGTCCGAGGCTGCCCAGGGCAGGCTCAGATGGGGCCTGCATTGGGGACGCTGTGCGCATCCCAGGTCGGGGCCCAGCCTGGGCCACAGCTAGATGTGCAGCTCTGTGTCATCGGGTGGCTCCAGGCCGGACTCTGCGCTGAGTGCTGAGGCTGAGGGGCCCTGGGCCACTCCAAACGGCGAGACAACGGGTGAGCGAGCAGCCAGAGGAGACAGTGAGGGTGAGAAGCTGGGAGACATGGCAGCTGAGGATAGGGAGCCTTCGTGGCTGATGGGGGAGCGGTGAGAGGCTGGTGGGAAGATGGCCCGGGTTGCTGCCGTGGTGGCTGGCTTAGGGGGCACAGACTTGGCTCCTGGGTGGGCCACAGCAGTGATGAGGGGTGGTGGGTCAATACGGGGAGCCGGGGGACATGGCCGAGCTTCATCCTTGAGCCGGGCAATCTCTGTGAAGACACTGGCCAGTGGCTGGAACTGAGGGCACCAGCTCAGCAGGTAGTCCCAGTTATAGCTGCCACGGAGCTCCTCCTCACCAGCCACAATGGCTGTCAGTGCACCTGCCACACACGGCTTGCCATCTGCTGGGAAGCCATAGTCCCCGGTGGGTGCAGGGCTCAGGCCACAGCCCCCCAGGAAGGCTGTGGCAGGGGCTGGTGGGCCCTCTTCTCGGTACAGGGTGGCTCCTGCACCTGGCAGCAGCAGCCCTGCCTTGCGGCCCTTATACCAGGTGTCAGGGGCAGGTGGCTCGCAGGATGTGTCACTCAGTCCATCTGCATCCTGCTGGATGCCTGAGTCGGGGCCACGGGCAGCCAAGGAAGAAGCCACACTGGCCACACGCGGGAATTCATTGATCATGCGGATCTCGTCATCCTCTGCAGCCTCTGCTGAGCCTCGACCACTGGAGTGTGAAGGGTCCAAGGAGCCACCTCGGGGGTAGGGTCCTCCAGCTCCTGGCCCACCATAGCTGGGGAGAGTCTGGTGATAGAGGTGCTCTGAGGGTGGTGGGCTGGGTGGCTCTCGGCCTAGCTTTTGCAGAGAGCCACTGGCCAGGGGCGCTGCCTGTGACATCGGACCAGGTGCTGCCTCAGCCTTGCGGCTACGGGCCCGCACCAGCCCTAGGACCAGGGCTGCTAGTGCAAGCACCACCACAACTCCCAGGGAGGCCGCCACAGCCCCCACCAATAGCAGGTTGAGGTCGGGTGCCAGGCCTAGTGCAGTGTGGGTGATATCCACAGTCACGGGCACTGTGGCACTCCGGGAACCAGGCAGAGGCCCCCGTGCCACCACCTCCAGCCTCAGCTCCCGTGGTGCCTCACGCCGTGTCCGGCCTCCACTCCCAGAAGTGCCTGTTCCGCTGCCTGGTGCCCGGCTGTCCACTCGAAGGTACAGGGCACCTGTAGTCTGGTTGATACCAAAATAGGGGGAAGAGGTGGCAAGGGAATAGAGCACCAGGCCATCGGCACCTCCATCCTCATCTGTGGCCTGCACATGACCCAGGCTGTAGCCACGCCGGGCACCTTCTGGCACCTGGAAGTGGAAAGCCGGAGCCAGGAATACTGGGTCATACTCATCCTCCCCTGTCACCAGTACGGACACAGTGACTGAGGCTGAGAGATTCCCAGCATCCACAGCACCCACCAGCAGCTGGAAGCTTCCTGTGTGCTCATAGTCAAAGGCCACTCGTGCCCGCAACTCCCCTGTTGAACTGTTCAGTGCAAATGCCTCACGGCCCTCAGGCCCTGGCCCGGCCTCCAACAGGCTGTAGCGGAGCCTCCCGAAAGCCCCAGCATCCCCATCAATCGCATGCAGAGTGGTCACAAGAGTGCCTGGAGGCTGGTTCTCTGCCAGGCTGGTGCTGAGCAAGCTCAGTGGGAAGACTGGGCCATGGTCATTCACATCCTGGACCTCGATGGTCACTGGTGCCAGAGCAAAGTGTGCCCCAGCAGGATCGGCAGCCTGCACTACAAGCTGATGTTGAACCTGGGTCTCACAGTCCAAGGGGCGGGCGAGTCGCAAGGCACCTGAGCTCTCATCCAGTTCAAAGAGCCCAGAAGGGTCGCCTGAGCTAAGGGTGAAACGCACAAGGCCATGAGGACCCGGGTCAGCGTCAGAGGCCTCCACATGCAGCAGCTCAGCTCCAACAGGTGTGTCCTCGGGAACCGCCATGCGGTAGGATGCTCGAGTGAAGACAGGGGGGTTGTCATTGACATCCAGCACAGTGACAGTGACAGGCACGGCTGAACTGCGAGAGGGCTGCCCCCGGTCAGCTGCAACCACAGTTAAGTTGTACTGGGTTAGGCTTTCAAAGTCTAGAGGCTCAAGCAACACCAGGCAGCCCAGTGCCCGGGGGCCTAGTCCACTACCTTCCTCAGTCTCAGCCAGCCGGGGTTCCAGCTGGAAGACTCGGCCCCGGTTGCCACTGATGATGCTATAGTCCACAGTGGCATGGGTGCGGCTTCCATCGGCATCCGTGGCCTCCAGGGTGAGCAGGGTGGAACCAGGGGGCAGATCCTCAGTCACGGCCACACGGTAGTGTGGCAATGTGAAGCTGGGGGTGTGGTCATTCTGGTCCTGTAGCTGCACATGCACTGTGGCTCTTGCTGCCCGGCCTGGCATCCCATGATCTCGTGCTTCCAGCACCACGTCCACCACTCCTGGCCCCTCCTGGCCCAAGGCCACTGTCCCCACTGTTGTGAACAAAGTCCCTGAGATGAGAAGGGAATGGAGAGAAATATGCATTCAGCAGAGGCTGCAGGTGAGTAGAGGGGTGATCCTTTGGGGGCCTAAGAAATGGCCTTGGAATTCAGACTCCAGGGAATGGCCTATGTGCTGGGAATTTATGGAACGGTCTCCAGGATTCATGAAATGGCTTCTAGACATGCGGTCAGGACAGGGCTTAAAACAGAGACAAAGGAGGGAAAATGTTCTCACTAGGTCAGAGATCCAGGAGTTAAGAATTCAGGCAAATTCTAGGAATGGAGTCAAAATATGGCCTGTCATGGTCAAAGATAAGGGGTCAGATCCTGGGAAGGACGTACCATTGTTGGAGTCAACACTGAAGCCCTCAGCAGGGGAAGCTAGGTGGTAGGAAATGTGACCATTGGCACCTGAATCCCGGTCAGTGGCAGAGACTGAGAGAATGGCACTGCCTGGAGGTGTGTGTTCAAGCAGTGTTACCTGAGGAGTGAGGACAAGTGTTTATGGCTGTTTCCCAGCTGCCCTATTGTCCACTCAGCCTATGTTCTGGAGCTTGGTCCCATGAGCCCTGCTTGGCATCCATGCCAGCTTGAAGCCCATACTCAGTGTTCAAACTGCCCACCTTCCTCCATTTCTGGGCACAGAATGAAGAACATGGACACAGTCCCTAGCACCTGGAAGGCTGGTTTGAGATGGGACCCTCCCATCCCCAGGGCTCCATCCTCAGGTCAGTTCCAACATCCAGCCCACCTCAGACACTTATAGCCTTGCCACTTCCTTCCAACGTGAACAACCCCGGGCCCAGGTGTGGGGTCAGCTGGGGGCATCAGTACCTGGTAGAGGCTCTGCGAGAAAGCAGGTGCATTGTCATTGACATCCTCCACAAACACTGTGAGGTTAGCACGGCCCTCATGAGGCCCATCATGTGCCAGCAGCTGCAGGTGATAGCAGTCACGTTGCTCAAAGTCCAGGGGGCCCGTGAGGGAGAGGCGGCCTCCATAGCGACCTACGCTGAAGGGATCCTGGGGTCCAGATGGGCTCAGCACATACCACAGCACCGGTC